TTAAAATTTGTATATATACAATACATGGTATTTCCATTTCTTGCTAGCATTTAAGAATGGTACTCAAAACATTACTTATTTTTAAAAATTTTAATAGTGCAACATCTAGTTTTTCTCCTCTTTAATTCTGCAGTGTCATATCGTTTCAAGCATTTTGCTATGCTGTCATTGTTGAGTCGACTTGTCCGGTTTACACAACGATTTAGTACTCTGGAAAATAAGTATAAAGATTTATTAATAAATGGGTTACACTAAAGATGTTACGAATTGGCCAGTTAGAGACATTGCTAATGTAATTTTTTTTTATTTCAGGTTTAGAAGTCTTTAGTAACAAAAAGTACATATATTGTATAATAAGTACATTCATATGTCCTATGTTTTTGTGGATTGGCGAGAAATCTAAAACTCTTGTTGAACCTTACTGAAAAATAATTCTCGGTAACAGATTTATAAAGACTTTCGTTGTAGACTTAGTCAACAACAAAGCTATGATTGCAATGCAAATTGATAAACCCAGAATAGTATCAATTAATATATTTAAGCTATAATAGTCTTAATTATTATATAACCTTGATAAGATGGCATTTACCATATTTTTTCCTTTTATATAATTATAATATAATATTGACTTAGTCATTATAATATTGACTTGATAAATTTCTTTTAGAAAAGAATTTAATTTTTTAATCCCATATTTCTATGTATGTTTCATCGAACTAAAGCAGCTTCAGCGTACTATTGCAATAGCAATGCGTTCTAGAGATATATCTTTTTTATCAAAAGAATTGTTGTACAAATAGACTCCCAGGATACATATACAGTACAAATGTACTTTAAGCCATTTCAAATGATACACCACTACAATTGAAAACTGTCAACAATAGTGGTAAATGTTTTTCCATACACTTACCTTAAAAGTTGGCCTATAATTTATTGTACTATAGTCCATTTCTTTGTTGTCCTCTAGGGTTTAAAAACAACACTTCTATATTGTTGGTTCCGGTTCCATCGATTCCGTTCAACTTCATTTCGCGTTTCACGTTGCTCATCAGTTAGACTTGCTGTTCTATATCTTTGACCTGAGGCATTACGGGTTCTGCGACGTAAGCCGGCATTGCCGGCATTTTTTGAAACAAAAATGCAACTGAAAATAAAAAATACTTTTCTTATTCTATTGCTATTTTGTAATAGTATCAAAATAGTCTATCAAAACTTTCTAACACTATAATAATTTGATTTACCTTGTAGAACAAACACTTCAGAAAAGAACATAGTACAAATTATCCTACTAAGAAATGGTAAATGAATTATGTAGGTATTATTTTATTATAACTCCGGCTACAGATAGTAAAACTGAATATGTACTCGTACAAAACCATACAAAAAAAAATACTCTTTGCAAACAATTTGAATTTTGAAACAATAGTTAACTGAACTTTTAAGACAGAGACAACAGTTTATCATAGACTAATATAGTCACACAAATGCCAAGCTCGGCTTAAAGCATTATAATAAATCTTTAAAAATTATCGACAACATAACGAGACTTTTACGTTTTCGTTAATGTATTAAATATCTTAGAAATTGTTTTATAGAATATAATCTTTAATTTACACACAATAAATTATTTCTGAACTCATGTCAACCATTACTTATAGTATTTGACAGGATGAACTACAAATGTTTGACAAATGACAGGCACAAAGGAAAAATGATTCATCTTTTATAATTATGTTTTCGTCGAGTTTTCTTTATTTTTTCGGGGCGGAGACAAATCCAACGAAACAAAGACCATGAAAATTGATCTATCTCGAGTTATAAGTGTTGTGACAAACACGACTTTTGTATGTATAATATATAGGATAGAAGATAGATTCATGATTTTTTTACCTGCGGTAACCAAATAATCTTAGATTTTATGTTTTATTACAAGTAAAATTCACAGATGATAAAATAGCTCTTTTATTCTAGGCTATCAGAAAATGACATTTTTATTTTGAAATTTTTAGCAACAACGAAAAAAGTTTAAAATAGTCTCAAAAACAAAATTATATATTTTAATTTATGTTTAAGTAAAAAAGTAAACTAGGATATCGAAAACTTAATTTGACTTTCTTATACAAGAAGTTAGATGAATTTACTATTGCTCACTCAGCAGCCAATGTACCCTAATCTCATTAAACAGCTCGCTTATGATTGCTCTAACTTTATCTACTAACTAGAAGACCTGGCGAACTTCGTATCGCCCTATAATCAAGAAATATCTGTTACGTTTTTTATTTATATTTTTGGAGTTTACCTGTAAGCCATAAATCTCCGTGTAGTGAAGTGCGACAGAATGATTGACATATTAGTTAGTTGTCAAATCTAATGTCAAAAAAAACGTTTGTATGGGAAATAGAAAAGGGCTGTTTTTATGGTTTCCCAGTAATAATAAAGTACAGTGAAATACTGAACGTCAACTAGGAAACCTCAAATTAAAATACACTTTAACCGAAATCATTAGGAATTAAGATTAAATGTGAAAACAAAAGGACAACTAAGTACAAAATCCCGACAATCTATATGAGGACCCTCAGTAAATAGGATTATGAGAATCCCAGCGACTCCCGGGATAACCTATTTGTGTGGAGATTTAGTATATAACAGACTTAAAAGATTTACTTTTGGAGTAACTTTGGATCCGATGGAAATAAATGTTAACAAAGTACTTATAGTAAGATATTGAGTTATGTATGTGCAAATCATTTTGAAAAAGAAAACAATTCTATTCATGTGAGGTTTCATCATCATCATTTGAGCCCTGTGAGTCTGCTGCTAGACACGAGCCTCATTCATCTGCTCCTATTTGTTTAACTGAGTCGTTCGTCCATCTCGTTGGTGTACGTACAACGTTGTATTTAATAGGAGAGTTTGATACGATAGTAATATTTATTTAAGTTCACCTCCTTATCATTTTACCTATGTGTATTTTAATTTAGTTAAATTATAAATCAAGCCCCTGCACCATATATAAATTAATGTTAACCCTTTATTCTGTAACTCATAATATTTTATTGCTAACATAATTTTTAACGAACCAATCAATTTTCTGGCATAATTTAGGATCACACTCATTATGTTCCAAAAATTAATCTTAAAATTAAATAATTTTGCGGATTAAACAAGGCTTAGCAATTTAAACTGCTTAAAAGCTATTAATACAGAAGGAGATTAATTTTCGTAAGCGAGGATGTGCGTGCGAGTGTCGCTGTAAGGGCGGTTTCAGACTAGCGTTTTATACGCGCGTATGAGCTGGTTTTTGGAAGCGCATGTAGGCGCGTATAGGCGCGCCTTTTGGCACACGCTCAACTCGTACGAGCGTTGACGCGCTTCTAAGCTCGTATAAGCGCGAGCCAAAAGTAATTTTTAAATCGTTTAGAATCACTTCGCAGTTCTGGGTAAAGTGTATTAAAGTGACCGGTTGTCAGTCTTGATGCAACTATCGGTGACACCCAGCACTTTTTTCCGTCGTCTCAGTCGACGGCGAATAAGTAACGCAAAAAGTAATGTTTCTTCGTCAGAATCCATGTTGAATGTTAATACTGACACGATACCACCGGTTCGAGCGAACACGCCGAAATATGCGCGTTTACGCGCGTCCGGTTTTTTGAAGCGCGTAATGTAGCGCGCGTGTAAGCGCGTATACTGAAACGACCGTATACGCGCTGAAAAAAACGCTAGTCTGAAATCGCCCTAACGATGACGGACAAGCATCGCACAGCTAGTCTATGCGGATTGACGGAGCCCGGCGAAGTGCCCGCTCAGCTGGCCAGCGGACCGCTAGCGGGGGCCAGCGGGGCTAGAGGAGCGCGGGGGGGGGGCCGCGAACAATAGACGCAGCGTGCATCCTCGCTATATACAATTTAATAAGAAGTTTGTCCGTTGCAAGAAACAAAAATATTACATAAATTTTATACAATTAATAAACAAATATAGAAATGAATAAAATTTCAAGTTACAATACAAAACATAACATACCGCTTCACGTATGATCTAGGGTTTTAGAGATCATACGTGAAGCGGTTAGTCTTTCGGTAGCCAGAGCGCAAAGGGAAATAACCACAAACGAGCGATCAATAGGTTTTGTGAGAGAGGGCACCAGGGCTATAAAATCAAACGTCAAGCCTTACTCTATCCTTAAAGCGGCTTCGGATTGGACTATCATGATGGATACGTATGAGAAACAATACAAAATCCCCGAGGATATTTGTGCGTCGGCCTCCAGACCAGACATATTTCTATATTCGCGTATTTTAAAGCGCGTTGTGATGATAGAGCTTACGGTGCCTTGGGAAACCAACATCCCCAAAGACCATGCCATCAAGGTCAATAAGTATTACGAGCTCACTAACGAACTAACTCGAAATAGGTTCGTCGTTGATTTGTACGCGGTAGAGGTGGGAGCGAGAGGTATAACAGCTAAATCTCTCTATAACCTACTAAAAGACTTGGGCCTGTCCAGAACTAACATTAATTCATTCTTAGAACGTACGTCGAAGGCAGCCCTAGTAGGTTCTTTTCAAATTTGGTTAGGTAGGGAGAGGAACTTGGACAGTGGAGGTGAGCGTATAACGCGCGTTAGTTAAGGGGCCCCTTAAACCTACACCTGGGTCGCAAGTCCCAGGCACTGTTGAAGCTCCTCTCCCTGCAACGCAATGGACCCGGCACCCGCACGGTGAATCCATTGAATGCTAAGAGGTTTCGTCTCATATAAAACGACTGCCCGGAGAGTCGGGCTGACTCTGGAAAGACAGATGACTGCCGGAAAGACGGATGACTGCCGGAAAGACGGATGACTGCTGGAAAGACAGCCGAGGGCAACGGCCTAGCAAGCCCAGCCCGGGATTTATTAAGCTAAAAGTCCTATAAAGAAAAATACCCCTGGGACAGTCCGAGAGGGGGGGCGGAAGATCTGTCCACCGGTCGATTTAAACGGCGAAAACGGCGCGAATACGGACTTGAAATGCCCTACGTGCGGGAAAAATTACAAGAGACGAGCCTGGTACATTAAACACCTAAAAACACATAATGGTGTTGAAGCGCGACAATCGTTGGTACGTTCTTCAATTATCACTTCGGATAGAGTTGACCCTCACGTATCCCATGGTGAACCATTAACTGGAAACCACCAGGAGTCCATTAACATCCGGACACGTCTTAGCATTCCTAACATGAAACAATCGACTTGGAAAGTTCACGACGACAATTTAGCGGTCCTGTTAGAGCATCCGGGCTCGAAACAGGAATTGAACTCGCAGGTAGAAACTTTCCAAAATACCGTTTATGACTACTTCAACGAGCAATATCCACCACGTAATCATTACGCTCGCAAAAATAAAGAAAATTCGTTCAAGATAAAAATGAGGAAGAAAAAACGGGAATTAATAAAAAATCTACGTATAGCCAAAGCTCTAGGCGACAACCACCTTAGTCATCAGCTAGCTAGGGCGTTAAGGTCAATCCTTAAATTAATTCAAGGAATATCGGCACAAACTGCAGGATATCGCGGTAATTTTGACCGGGCCAAACAGGAAGTAGATTTTGATAAAAACCCTTTTGAGTATTCGAAAACCATTTTTAAGAAAGAACGCGGACAGCTTCTCTTGACCAACGATCAAATTTACGACCATTTCAAGAGCACATACGAAGTGCCTAAAAGTGTAAGGCTCTATACGGATCCAAACGAACAAAAACCGGAAATTCCTCATATCGATTTTCACGGCATACCACCAACGTTAGACGAAATAAGTAGTCACATAAAGAGGAAATCATCTAAATCTGTACCGGGCCCCGATGGTATCCCATATATAGTCTTTAAAAAATGTCCATCGGTTCGTAAACACCTCATAAATATATACGGCAAAATCTGGTCAAGGAAGCAAATCCCGGAGTGTTTCGGGAAAGCAATTTTTGTCCTCATTCCCAAAAAAGATCGAGTTACCGATCCGAAGGATACTAGACCGATAGCCTTAACAAATACAATTTCTAAAATCTTTTTCTCGGTCCTACAAACGAGAATGACGCGATTCATGCTCAGCAACAAGTATTTTAGGCCAAATCACCAGAAAGGGTTTCTACCCGGGATTTCTGGATGCCTAGAACACAACACCTTGCTGTCGGAGAGTTTGAAAGATGCTAGAAAAAGCGAGCGGCAAATTACAGTTTGTTGGATAGACTTAGAGAACGCGTTCGGGTCGATACAACACGAGTTGATGCTATTCGCGCTTAGATGGTACAACTTTCCACCCCTAGTTAGAGATATGATCGCGTCGTATTACTCAAAATTAAGGTTTTCTATAATAACTAAAGAAGGCCCTTCAAAAAGTTTGAGTTATAATGTAGGACTGTTTCAAGGTTGTTGTCTATCTCCAATTACGTTTAATATCGTTATTAACATCTTAGTGGACAAATTAATCTGTAACGAGAAAAAATGGGGTTATCGGTTTAAGTTTAATAATAAATACACGGAATCCATTTTAGCCTTCGCTGACGATCTCGCAATACTGACACGTCACCCCAAACACTGTCAAGTACTATTGGATGAAGTGGATAAATTCTGTGAGTGGACGGATGGATTGAGGACAAAACCAAGTAAATGTCACTGTTTGTGTCTTGGTAGGCGGAATACAAGATACACCTCATACGATCCGGGACTATCGATAGGCGGTCAATGCGTTTCTACGGTTACGGAAGATGCACCATTCAAGTTTCTCGGTCGTAAGATTGATAATATAGGTCGTACTCCATCTTTAGAAGGAATAGTAGATAGCTTTTTAAATGATCTTAACAAGGTAGATAGCCAGCAGATCAGTAACGTAAAAAAAAGCATGGATCTACGATAATTACTTAACTTCACGTTTGAATTGGCCTTTCCTCGTCTATGATTTTAGTAAAACCCTTTTATCTAAATTAGATGCAGGCGTCATAAAGATGTTGAAGTTGTGGCTCGGGCTCGCGCTAACGGCTGATTCATCGGCTTTATTCAGGGATCGTAATAGTTTTGGGATGAATCTAAAAAGACCATCGGAGCTCTACAAACACCTAAGAGTTTCCAAGAGACATATCCTGGGAAAATCCCATGATGACGTCGTTACATCACTCCCAAAAGACAATGATGCCCCAGAGCTAGAGTCACGACTTCAATTCCATAAACAATTTATGATCGGAGCGCAAAATAACAGAGTAGGGTTAGGATCAAGTAGGAAAGTCCAAGATACGGATATATTGAAGTCTTTTATTCGGCAAGACGAGAACGATAAATACAAGATCCATGCAATGAGTTTAGAAATGCAGAACGAGTGGTTAGACATAGGAGATTTTTGCATTCCACTAGCACTAAAATGGCGCACCCTAATTCATGACTGGTCGCCAGCCTTGCTAAAATTTTATCTCAATGCGTTCCAGATGACTCTCCCAGATCAGAGTAATTTAGTAAGATGGGGTAAAGGTACCGAAAAAACTTGCTATATCTGCGGAAAGGCAGTTGGAACTGCCAAGCATTTGCTGGTGGGATGTAAGGTTCTCCTGGACAGCGGTCAATACTCGCGTCGTCACGATAGGGTTTTAGAGATCATACGTGAAGCGGTTAGTCTTTCGGTAGCCAGAGCGCAAAGGGAAATAACCACAAACGAGCGATCAATAGGTTTTGTGAGAGAGGGCACCAGGGCTATAAAATCAAACGTCAAGCCTTACTCTATCCTTAAAGCGGCTTCGGATTGGACTATCATGATGGATACGTATGAGAAACAATACAAAATCCCCGAGGATATTTGTGCGTCGGCCTCCAGACCAGACATATTTCTATATTCGCGTATTTTAAAGCGCGTTGTGATGATAGAGCTTACGGTGCCTTGGGAAACCAACATCCCCAAAGACCATGCCATCAAGGTCAATAAGTATTACGAGCTCACTAACGAACTAACTCGAAATAGGTTCGTCGTTGATTTGTACGCGGTAGAGGTGGGAGCGAGAGGTATAACAGCTAAATCTCTCTATAACCTACTAAAAGACTTGGGCCTGTCCAGAACTAACATTAATTCATTCTTAGAACGTACGTCGAAGGCAGCCCTAGTAGGTTCTTTTCAAATTTGGTTAGGTAGGGAGAGGAACTTGGACAGTGGAGGTGAGCGTATAACGCGCGTTAGTTAAGGGGCCCCTTAAACCTACACCTGGGTCGCAAGTCCCAGGCACTGTTGAAGCTCCTCTCCCTGCAACGCAATGGACCCGGCACCCGCACGGTGAATCCATTGAATGCTAAGAGGTTTCGTCTCATATAAAACGACTGCCCGGAGAGTCGGGCTGACTCTGGAAAGACAGATGACTGCCGGAAAGACGGATGACTGCCGGAAAGACGGATGACTGCTGGAAAGACAGCCGAGGGCAACGGCCTAGCAAGCCCAGCCCGGGATTTATTAAGCTAAAAGTCCTATAAAGAAAAATACCCCTGGGACAGTCCGAGAGGGGGGGCGGAAGATCTGTCCACCGGTCGATTTAAACGGCGAAAACGGCGCGAATACGGACTTGAAATGCCCTACGTGCGGGAAAAATTACAAGAGACGAGCCTGGTACATTAAACACCTAAAAACACATAATGGTGTTGAAGCGCGACAATCGTTGGTAAGTTCTTCAATTATCACTTCGGATAGAGTTGACCCTCACGTATCCCATGGTGAACCATTAACTGGAAACCACCAGGAGTCCATTAACATCCGGACACGTCTTAGCATTCCTAACATGAAACAATCGACTTGGAAAGTTCACGACGACAATTTAGCGGTCCTGTTAGAGCATCCGGGCTCGAAACAGGAATTGAACTCGCAGGTAGAAACTTTCCAAAATACCGTTTATGACTACTTCAACGAGCAATATCCACCACGTAATCATTACGCTCGCAAAAAATAAAGAAAATTCGTTCAAGATAAAAATGAGGAAGAAAAAACGGGAATTAATAAAAAATCTACGTATAGCCAAAGCTCTAGGCGACAACCACCTTAGTCATCAGCTAGCTAGGGCGTTAAGGTCAATCCTTAAATTAATTCAAGGAATATCGGCACAAACTGCAGGATATCGCGGTAATTTTGACCGGGCCAAACAGGAAGTAGATTTTGATAAAAACCCTTTTGAGTATTCGAAAACCATTTTTAAGAAAGAACGCGGACAGCTTCTCTTGACCAACGATCAAATTTACGACCATTTCAAGAGCACATACGAAGTGCCTAAAAGTGTAAGGCTCTATACGGATCCAAACGAACAAAAACCGGAAATTCCTCATATCGATTTTCACGGCATACCACCAACGTTAGACGAAATAAGTAGTCACATAAAGAGGAAATCATCTAAATCTGTACCGGGCCCCGATGGTATCCCATATATAGTCTTTAAAAAATGTCCATCGGTTCGTAAACACCTCATAAATATATACGGCAAAATCTGGTCAAGGAAGCAAATCCCGGAGTGTTTCGGGAAAGCAATTTTTGTCCTCATTCCCAAAAAAGATCGAGTTACCGATCCGAAGGATACTAGACCGATAGCCTTAACAAATACAATTTCTAAAATCTTTTTCTCGGTCCTACAAACGAGAATGACGCGATTCATGCTCAGCAACAAGTATTTTAGGCCAAATCACCAGAAAGGGTTTCTACCCGGGATTTCTGGATGCCTAGAACACAACACCTTGCTGTCGGAGAGTTTGAAAGATGCTAGAAAAAGCGAGCGGCAAATTACAGTTTGTTGGATAGACTTAGAGAACGCGTTCGGGTCGATACAACACGAGTTGATGCTATTCGCGCTTAGATGGTACAACTTTCCACCCCTAGTTAGAGATATGATCGCGTCGTATTACTCAAAATTAAGGTTTTCTATAATAACTAAAGAAGGCCCTTCAAAAAGTTTGAGTTATAATGTAGGACTGTTTCAAGGTTGTTGTCTATCTCCAATTACGTTTAATATCGTTATTAACATCTTAGTGGACAAATTAATCTGTAACGAGAAAAAATGGGGTTATCGGTTTAAGTTTAATAATAAATACACGGAATCCATTTTAGCCTTCGCTGACGATCTCGCAATACTGACACGTCACCCCAAACACTGTCAAGTACTATTGGATGAAGTGGATAAATTCTGTGAGTGGACGGATGGATTGAGGACAAAACCAAGTAAATGTCACTGTTTGTGTCTTGGTAGGCGGAATACAAGATACACCTCATACGATCCGGGACTATCGATAGGCGGTCAATGCGTTTCTACGGTTACGGAAGATGCACCATTCAAGTTTCTCGGTCGTAAGATTGATAATATAGGTCGTACTCCATCTTTAGAAGGAATAGTAGATAGCTTTTTAAATGATCTTAACAAGGTAGATAGCCAGCAGATCAGTAACGTAAAAAAAGCATGGATCTACGATAATTACTTAACTTCACGTTTGAATTGGCCTTTCCTCGTCTATGATTTTAGTAAAACCCTTTTATCTAAATTAGATGCAGGCGTCATAAAGATGTTGAAGTTGTGGCTCGGGCTCGCGCTAACGGCTGATTCATCGGCTTTATTCAGGGATCGTAATAGTTTTGGGATGAATCTAAAAAGACCATCGGAGCTCTACAAACACCTAAGAGTTTCCAAGAGACATATCCTGGGAAAATCCCATGATGACGTCGTTACATCACTCCCAAAAGACAATGATGCCCCAGAGCTAGAGTCACGACTTCAATTCCATAAACAATTTATGATCGGAGCGCAAAATAACAGAGTAGGGTTAGGATCAAGTAGGAAAGTCCAAGATACGGATATATTGAAGTCTTTTATTCGGCAAGACGAGAACGATAAATACAAGATCCATGCAATGAGTTTAGAAATGCAGAACGAGTGGTTAGACATAGGAGATTTTTGCATTCCACTAGCACTAAAATGGCGCACCCTAATTCATGACTGGTCGCCAGCCTTGCTAAAATTTTATCTCAATGCGTTCCAGATGACTCTCCCAGATCAGAGTAATTTAGTAAGATGGGGTAAAGGTACCGAAAAAACTTGCTATATCTGCGGAAAGGCAGTTGGAACTGCCAAGCATTTGCTGGTGGGATGTAAGGTTCTCCTGGACAGCGGTCAATACTCGCGTCGTCACGATAGGGTTTTAGAGATCATACGTGAAGCGGTTAGTCTTTTCGGTAGCCAGAGCGCAAAGGGAAATAACCACAAACGAGCGATCAATAGGTTTTGTGAGAGAGGGCACCAGGGCTATAAAATCAAACGTCAAGCCTTACTCTATCCTTAAAGCGGCTTCGGATTGGACTATCATGATGGATACGTATGAGAAACAATACAAAATCCCCGAGGATATTTGTGCGTCGGCCTCCAGACCAGACATATTTCTATATTCGCGTATTTTAAAGCGCGTTGTGATGATAGAGCTTACGGTGCCTTGGGAAACCAACATCCCCAAAGACCATGCCATCAAGGTCAATAAGTATTACGAGCTCACTAACGAACTAACTCGAAATAGGTTCGTCGTTGATTTGTACGCGGTAGAGGTGGGAGCGAGAGGTATAACAGCTAAATCTCTCTATAACCTACTAAAAGACTTGGGCCTGTCCAGAACTAACATTAATTCATTCTTAGAACGTACGTCGAAGGCAGCCCTAGTAGGTTCTTTTCAAATTTGGTTAGGTAGGGAGAGGAACTTGGACAGTGGAGGTGAGCGTATAACGCGCGTTAGTTAAGGGGCCCCTTAAACCTACACCTGGGTCGCAAGTCCCAGGCACTGTTGAAGCTCCTCTCCCTGCAACGCAATGGACCCGGCACCCGCACGGTGAATCCATTGAATGCTAAGAGGTTTCGTCTCTAAGTAGCTCCGCTACAATAATGCTTAAATCATTTCACATTATTTGATTTCAATATGTCATACTTACTAAGTTCTTGCAGTCTCTTTAATTTGATGTAATTGTATGGTTTGTAAAGGTTCTTCCAGATTCTGAGTTCTATTAGGGAAATTCGTGTTTTAAAATTACTTTAATATTTATAGTATTTTTTATGGTTTAGAATTGGGAAGATTTTAGGATTTAAGGAATTTCATTTTAATTTTAAACATCTATTCATAAAGGTCAGTCAAGCTTGTCTACGTTTAGAGAAAAATAAGGTATACAGGTAGGTAGGTACTTATACATATGGCCTTAAAACTAACTGGTCTTTCCAAGAATATTTTTACATTTAAAATTAAAAATAATATAAATATTTTGCTTTAATTAAACTATCTATAGTATAAAAGAAGAATAAAAAAGCTTAGGTAAATTCTGTTAAAAAGTCCATAATCACTATAAATTAGCTCAGCATTCTTTATAAAATTTTAAAGAACATAGATCAATGCAAGTGCTGTCAGAGGTATAAGTAGCATATAAATAATGTTTAAAGATAGTTCTGCAAAAAAGGAGTTGGCAAATGGTGGGCCCAAAATGTAATGAGTTCAAATTTGTTTAAAAAAATTGGTTTAATTTTTTTTTATGAAATACCAAAAATCTACTTAAATTCTCAATTTACAAGCGGAGAAATATGCAAATAACTGTTTTTATAAAGTAATCGATTAACGATTAATTAAATAAAAAAATGATTATTCGATTAACTACAATATAAAAAATTCACTCCTAGTTTTAAACTTTTAGTAACTTCATTTAAACTACACCATATATGTCTATAATTCAATAAAAATAACTTTTAATAACGTGAATTAATATAATAATAATATTAAATATTATTTTAAAACAACCTTTTCGATTATCGATTCCATATCGATCGAAATCATTCAGTATATAGTCTATGGCAACATGACATTGACACAACAATTACTATGCCAGATGCATTGTTATCTGAATCTCAAGTCTGACTTGTTTTGTGTTTTTCGATGCGTTTCGAGTGCGTTCCCGATCATTTTACATTTTCAACGACCACTGCTTTGTTTTTTACGGACTCCGAACCCGCCTAACGTTTTACGACCCTTGCTTTCAGATTGGACACCGACGATCTCCTCCACGTTTGACTTGGAATTGTTCATTTGGATTATTTCACAGGCTTGTGCATTGGATATTAGTTATTACTGAAACGATGGATCGCTGTGGGAATTGTGGGATAGCAACTAGTAACATTGGTCATTGTACCCCCTGCATAGTTTCTAGACGATATTGTAATTATTATTTAAGAGGAATAAAATATTCCATTAAAATTATTTGTTTTATTTTATGACTTTTATCACATAGTTTACTCCTCCTGTTCCTCGTAGAATTCCATACTTGTTACCTATATCTGTACGTCTTTGAGTCTTTATTGCCCTGTTTTGACTTATCAGATATTCTCTTCTAAATAAAATTATTATTTTTCACATATTTTTACGTGTATTCGTCTAACTCTTAAAGATAATGCAATATAACCTCACTTTTACTAAACCTCCAACAACTCAGCGATTTGATTGTCAATTTCTATAGAATTTTCAATGAAGTAACTCTTAATTTTAAACCTTTAATTGATACTTTTTTCATATCTTTACATTTAGGGCCCAGAATTGTATGAAATACTTTTGATCTCCTTTCCTTCTAAATTAGAATATTTTTTTAGTTATTTTTATTTATATTACTTTGTTTTCGTGACAGAATTTATTAAATTATAACTATTATAAGAACATGCATTTATTTAAGTTGCATGATAAAATTATATTTGAAAGACAACTTTTTTTTCTTTTACGAAGTAGAAGTTATTCTTGAGGTCGTATCGTAAGGATGACCTTAGCATTAGCTTTAAGTTGTTCAAAAAATAAAAAGGTTTAGTTGTTAATAATATTAAAACATATTTTTTCATCTGTATCATTGTAATATAAAGGTTCACACTGATTTCTGACCTTGTAGTATATACTTTTAAGAAATATA